TGTGCTTGTTAATGTCATAACAGGGATGTTGCTAAGTGGCGACATGCATGTTCTGTACACATTGGATCATGTTTAAAGGGATAGTTCACACAAAATATGGAAATTCTGTCATTATTTACTTTCCCTCATGTTATTCCAAGTACTTGTACTGTTATTTTTTGTAGAATACAAAGAGATTTTCACACAACTCTTTTCCATACAGTGACCGTTCACAGTGACAAGTCTCAAGCTCCAAAAAAAGGACAGAAAAGCACCATTAAAGTAGTATGACATCCATGTGTTATATTCCAAGTCTTCTGAGGCCATATGATGATCTCCCATCACAACCATGATATATTTTTGTATATTTCTGAATAAGTACTTACATTTTGGGTTGTTCCTCAAACAAATCGATATTATGGCGTCAGAATACATCATCTCCACGAGGAATATTATCATGAACTAAAATTAAAACCATAAAAATCAATAAAATCATTACTTGAAATAAAATAAACATTAACTGAAATTAAATTTTACACTACATTGTGACTTTAAATGGAAAGTAACATTTTAAGTTTTATCTTGACTTTTTGTGTTTGTTTTTTACATTAGAAGTGCTAAATTTGGTAAAACACAAAGCCAATCATGTTCACACACACACACACACACACAAACTTGTGCAATGCTTGTAAATCATATACTGTATATACCCTTATTTCTCCAAACATAAAATTTTTTAAAGCTATCAATGTATTTATATATTTATTTTGTTTTATAAAATGTTACTTAGTTGACAAAGTAACTGGATATGTTGTTATTTAACAAATAACACATTATTAATGGCATAGCATCTCTTGAAAAATTATCTAGTTAATGCCCACCAATTTTTTTAACATGTTTCTCCCAACACTTTTTTTTTCTTCTTTTTTGGAAAGACTAGTCTATGAATATTGTATGAAAGAAGCAAGTGAATATTTGTCCAAAATTCTCTATGTTCCATAAAAATGAAAAATTACCATACGAGTTTGAAATGGCATGAGGGCGAGTAAATAATGACTGAATTTTCAGTTTTGAGTGAACTATTTCTTTAAAGTTAAATGTAAGAGTGAATGTAAGAGAGAGAAAATGAAGTAACAGGCAAAAGAAAATAAATCTTGCAAGGTCTGAGAGGCAGCAGGGTGGACGTATGTGACCTTTTAAGAAATGTCCTCTGAACATGCTCCTCTACTATCTAGTTTTGCCCTTTGAGCTTGTATTGTCTTGTAGGGGAATTTTTTTTTGGTTCTACCCCTGAAACTTGGGAGGTAATGACACATAGTGTCTGTCTCTTAGTATGTGTGTTATAGGGAGTGGTTCCAGCTGGTTCTATGTTCACTTGCAGCTTTTGCGAGTCAGTTTGAGTGTGTAATGCTTTGTGACAGCTCACACTACTCTGTCATCCTTTTTGAATCCAGTATTCCATCTTATTCTTACTGATTTATTATTAAAACCCAGTGTGAACTTACGTATGTAAAATCTTGTACTCGTTCTTACTGGCGCATGTCCCATCATGCAGTGGTGAGAACATCTAGTGTTATTCTTGGCAGTGTGTTCATTACACCAGATGTCTGAATCAAGAGTTGTGTTCCAAAACCCATTGCGATGCCTACCTAGGGAACATCTTTAGGCATCATAGGTGTGCTTCTGACACAAAAGCTGTTCAAAAAGTTCTAGCAAAATTATGCGCCGCAGAACATTACTAGTTTGGGTCAAACTCTTAGGCAGCATTGCATGTAGGTGTGCTTTAAGTATGGATCCGATATCCAATCCCCCCCACCCAAAAAAAAAGCTTAAAGTCCCCATGAAATCAAAATTTAAGTTTTTTGGGTGTTAGTATCAATATGTTAGTCTTAAGGTTATCTAAATATCAGTAAAGCCATTATCGTTCAATCTCTACACATGAAAGACTATTAACGAAGTTGTTTCCATTTCAGTCTCTTAACATATTCCATTTAGACTAGGATGCTGACTTAGAAAGCAGCTGCTTACTGTATGTAAACAGTAGGCGGTGAGGCAGCTCAATAAGGTTTGAAACAGAGCCAAGAACACCCCATTTACAAATCCAAGCTCAGCGATTCCCTGAAGGTATGAAGGTGGCATGTTGTGATGGATGGCATGTTCTACTCTTAATAGGCGAGAGGAAGAAAAGACAGCAGCTCAAAGTGACAGCTCTGTGGAGATGGACAGCAGATCTACAAGCCATTACCTATAGAGATAAGGAGACAGTTTGGAGAGCTGAGGTAATACAGGAGGGAAAAGGAAGCAAAATGCCCACTAGGGAGACCTCAGTGGCAGAGGTGCGACTTTCCAGGTGTTTCCGATTGGACAGCAGCAGGTGTCCTCCCCCTTCTCCCCTTGAAGACACCCGCTTGCGTTTTATTCAACCTCTGATCTTGGAAAAGCCAGGCCTATTAGACATTAATGCTCTCAGTGAAGGTTTTAGGAAAGTACTGTGGTTGTGGATCAGCGCTGCAGTGGTGATGCTGTCTGTCAGTACGAGGGGTGAAGGGCGCTGCATTATTGATGGGACTCATTCAGCTTGACTGAGCAGACTCGCATCTCAAACAGATTATTGACCAGCACCCTGGAGTCTCAGAGCTGGTGCATGGCATGAGATGATATACATGCTCACTCAACACATCGGTGGATAACCTTGTTATGCGCTCTCAGTGCTTGGGCGAAGCATAAGGCCAAAGATCAAACCTTAAACTGGATTAAATTCCTGTGTTTATCTCAGTTAGAAGCTATGACTAGACTTAAGCATTTTCTTGTGAAGTACATGGTTTTTCAGGGCACTGCTCTGCAGTTATAAGGTGTTATGAGGGGTTTAGTTTGTTGCTGTCACGCTTGGGCAAAACTGGTCCCCATTGACTTCCATAGTATGTTTTTATTTATTTACTTATTTTGTCCATACTATGGAAATCAAAGGAGATCAGCGACTGTTTGTTGACCCATGTTCTTCACAGTATCATCTTTTGTGTTCAGCAGAAGATAGAAACTCATACAGCTTTGGAACTACTTGAGGGTGAGTAAATTATTAGTTTTGGGGTGAATTATCGCTTTGAAATATTAGCTCCCTTTCAAATCATGAATTTTATTTGAATTGGCCACACCCCATAAGATGTTGATTTGGAATGACAGGAAGAGAAATTTAATTCAAAATTCAAAAGATTCAACACAGGTAATGCCTTCTGGAAGTGTTAATTTATTTCATAACTGAAAAGTGAAAACTCAATGCAGATTTCTATATGTCACGTTTCAAACATTGCAAAGTTTTTTTTTTTTTGACAAACTTAGAATTTCTAGTTTTTCTTTGCATTTAATTGATTTTCATTTTGTTTTCTTATATACGCAAGCACTAGTCATATATTTGAATGTTGAGCAGCGAGCTCATTGGCTACTGATACAGGAGAGAACCAATCAGCTGTGCCATGTGATAATGATGTCATTAAGTCAGATTGAGTTGCGCCATCTAGAGTTTCATGCCAGAACTCTGTATATCTTAAACGCAGAAGATGCAACCGAGTTCATTTTAAATGCCAAAAAAGGGAGGAAAATGGTTATGAAAACTATTTTAGTGTACATTTCACAGTAAATTTCTAACTTCTGTGACTGATTTGTGTGCAAGAAACACTGACTATAATTGTGAAAAGTGCTACAGAAGTGGATGATGCGCTGTTGTTTTTATGGGATGTGGGAAAAATCACATCACATCCTGTTGCCCTTTGCTGCAATGTTTTCTTTAGTTAGGAATCATGGCTAATGTATCCACATAGCATCTGTAGCCATTAGAATTGAACCCTGTAAGTGGAATGTTCCAGTGTTTACTATAAGTGAGATTGCAGTGTTCTCTGTATCCTCCCTGAGCGCTGCATTCTGTATGTATGTTTGATATGTGAGATTCAAAGAGCCAGAAGTTACAGAAATGTTATTTCTGTCTGCTCTTGACTTTGGTAGGTCAAAAAGTGGGCAGAAAATGAACACAAATTGTTTGCTGCAACTCTATGATGCACAAAAAGCAGAAATGGAAGAAAATTAAAGTCATTAAGTGCAAATTACAACTATAACCTTATGTTCTCGTTTCAGTCCTCTCTGCTATTTATCAGTGTTCAGTGTTAATGCTATTTATAGATTTGACCAAAGCGAGCCATAATGCCCCAAATTAGACTTGCATTGAAATTAACAGCAAAGCAGCCATATAGGATTGAGAATTGTATGGAATCAACTTTTGATCTTTCTGGAATTACAAGCCGCCCTTGTGGCAGATCAGTGTCAGTCTGTATATTAATGCTGGTCTATAAGCATTGCAATTCATCCTCATGGCCTTTCTTGATAAATGGTCAATGAAAAATTTACCAAAACAACAGTCAAAAGTGCAAAGTTAGTATTCCTCCCTGCCACATTGTGAATGCCTACGTATTGCTCTTTTGACAAATCTTATGCTCTTAAGCTTGAAAGAGCCATTTTCCAATCCTGCGTTTTTCCAAATAGAAGATTAAGGAACACGTAATGAGAAAACCTTTTCAGAGTTTTCTTTGTCAGAGAGCTTTTGTTGGATCGATCACCTCTTTTAAGGCATGATGAAATTGCTTTTCTCTGCAGTCTCATTACCGTTTTTGATTGAGTTGCTTAGCATTTCCTGCGCAAGTCCTTTCCACCCATTCTTGATGACTGAGATGTACATTTAGCACTCCAAATGAGAACTCATTTACTCTCAGCACGGAGTGAAGATTATGTATTTGCCTTTTTATACAGACTCCCATAAGGTTGTGTTGAAAAGAGGATACACCTTTGACTCAAGTGGCTTTGATTTTAGTTTGATTTCATCTCTTAGTTAGCTTTCATGTGTTTCTGTAGTCCTTGATTGAATGTCATAGCTTAAGATATTTTATGCACCATGATAGTTTTGTTAAACTGTTCTGCAGGAGATACATGTGATTGTGTACACTTTCATGGTTCAAATCTCTCTCTCTTTTTTTTAGACCTCTCGGCAGCCGTGCAGAAGTTCTCCCAGTCGTTACAGGAGTTCCAGTTTGAGTGTATTGGTGACGCAGAAACGGATGATGAAGTCAACATTGGTAAGTGTGGCATCAACTGCTGATTTGTGGTCTGCTGCTTCTAATACTGATTCAGTCTCATAGATGTATATGACAAATCACAAATGGGATTCCTTTAAAGGGTTAGTTCACCCAAAAATGAAAATTAGCCCTTAAATTACTCACCCTCAAGTGTCTCACACAGCTCCGGGTATTTGTATTTGTCCTGGTTCTCTGAAATGGATGTAAGACGCATGGATGTCGCTAGGCCATTTTTAGCGGGGCTATAGCGATTAGCTCCATAAACTGTACACAAATTCATGATCGGCTCAGAGTCAGTTCTCTTTAAATTTCATATGAAAACGGCGGCAGACTTTTCGTCTCCTCCCCGTCTTTCAGCGCGCTCTTCAATTCCGCAGACCGCGGCGGCGCAGCGCGAGCGGACTCAAACATAGGACACAAGGTGTGTGTTTATCGATAGATTGTTATATCTGTATCTGTGCAGTTCTTTGTCATAAATACAGTTTACAAAAGGTCATGAGGGAGCAATCGGTTTCCCATCTACTGTAAAGTTTTCGCTGCGTTCACCGCTCATCACACCACAGCTGTTTCCTCCAGCGGAAATCTAGCCCTTAACACATATGAACGCATACTTTATAAAACGATCATATAGCTATTTTCATTTGAAAATGTAATATTTAATATAAAACATATTACAGTGCATGTGGCATACCATACAGTAATTCACAGAACTGATTAAAGACAGTGACAGACAGCACTCAGTCAATTCACTCATTTTAACTAAAAATCAGAGTGATTGACAGAGATACAGTAGAAACATTATGTGTGGTTTTGTATTAAATATTGTTTTGTATTAAATAATGACCCAGATCGTGAAATACATTTATTAGCCTTAGAGTAAGGGAAGCACAACTCGGGAAATGAGAGCATCCAAGGAGCATGTGAATGCTATGTATATTTATTTTTTATATTTTTAATGTTCTTTAATGTTATCCATCGTTTTTTATGTGGCTCTTTTTAAAAAAGTATCGGTTCAGGCACCGTTTAGGCACCGGTACCATTGTAAAAGTATCGATTTGGCACCGGTATCGTAAAAAACTCAATTGATACCCAACCCTAGTCATAGCTATGCAAAGATTTGATTTAAAAAACAAACAAAAAAATCTTGTTATGATTTTAAATCAGTATTTAACCTCACAATGATCTCAAAGTAAAAAGAGGTGCTAAAGTTTGATTTTGTGGTGGCTGTGCTTTAAAATAATTTTTTTATAGTCTTAATTTAAGTGATGAAGGATTTTGAAAGTCTTACAGTAATCAGTGTTGAGTACTACTGTAAGATTAGCCCTGCCTGGTTTAAATGTTTGAAAATTAATAATGAGAAATTTAGAAAGGTAATCAAATGTAATCAGTTACATTACTTTAAGTAATTGTAAAAGTTACACTACTTATTACATTTCAAATAGGGTAACTTGTAATCTGTAACCTGTTACATTTCCAAAGTAACCTTTCCAATGCCGGTGAACATTAAATTAACATTAACAGATGCTCAGACCCTTTCTCATCAAATACAAATATTCAAATCAAATATTAATTTCTTTAAGACTGAATTATAACGGCTATGCTATCCACACTCAATTTTTTTTCTCTAAACTCTTACTGTACGTCAACAGTTGTCTCATTTGTGAGACTCATTTTTATTTCTCGTAAGGAGTTTTAGCAGAACATCTGAGAAAGTTGATTCCTAACCAAGAAGTCCATTAACTCGCCTAAGCTATGAAAAAGCAATATCTGAGCGATAAAATGTTCCTTCAAACCCATTAAAAATGATGTGCTAAACCATTCTAAGTTCATCTTAATGGAAAGTTCTCCTAATGTTCTGAGGAATAGTTTCCTTCCTTGATCCCAAATGTCCCGCACACTGTCCCAGATGGCTGGGATTGTCATTTTAATCAAGACCTATCCATGGAAATTCCATACGAGTTTTTTTTTCTAGCCTCTTTTTTCTTCCACTCCGACTCTTTGCCTTTCGGCTATTGATTACAATCTTTAGCATGTGAGCAGTAACAGAAGGACTTACAATTCATCGTTTTGATTAGTAAAGGCATTCTCGTATGAAAGCAAGCATCGGGCATGCTAATATCCTGTCCCAGTCCAGATTTAGCTCAACAGCTCAAGGCAGGTCTCAGTGAGATTGCCTGACCGGCATGCATAATGTATTGTATTGATTTGCTTATATTCCAGACAAAAAGGTCTCAGCTCAGCCCTTTAAGAGATCAGAGTAACTAATTGTGATTTGTGTCAGAGATTAAGGAAAATGCAGCCGGCTCACCCTCTGTGGGCACTGAGCAGATGTGCTGAGAGTTCATACGCCCTGATGGGTTGATCACTCATTCTGTTCTGTCTCTTTTTGCAGCCATTCATCTCTTTCTATCCTTCTCTCGTTCCTGCGTTCTCTCCTTATGTGTCATTACTTTGTTTATTATCTTCCTGTCCTGCTCTGTGCATTGTGTGCTGGCTTGACACTCAGACCATCTGCATCTAACAGTTGGCTTCCAGTCTTTTCGTACTCTCAGTCGCACAAGCAACCTGTCATTTAGCCTGCTACCTTTTCCTCTTCTTTTCCCAAGCAATCTGATGGGAAAAAATCTAATTAAATGTGTTGAGGTGTGGCAAAGCAAGCTCATAATGGAGTTCAATTTGGCTTTTTCCTATCCCCGTCTGGTCGCCAAATAGGAATGGGGTGAATTTTTGCAGTTTTTTCCCCTGTTTGTATGATTAAAAGGAATGTTGGGCGAGCCGGCCATAGCGGGGATGTTTTGGAAGGTAGCGACACAAAGGAGTCTTTATGGCTGTTTATCTAATGGACCGCTTTAATGGACAGAAACATGATAGGTAGGAAATGATAGGGCTACGGCTATTGATTTACACGTGTAATGTGGCGGATGATTTTGGTTTGCATTCCATGGACAAGTGAATGTTGATGAAACCTGTGGCTGCATGTTAATGCCATCTCTTTGACATGAATCCAGCATTTTGTTCAAAGTCCGTTCAGTGATACTCTGATACATACTGTGAACAAAAATGGCAGGCACTACAATACTTTTGGTGTAGAAACAACATATATATGTGACCCTGGACCACAAAACCAGTCATAAGGGTCAATTTAAAAAAAAATTGAGATTCATACATCATCAGAAATCTGAATAAATAAGCTTTCCATTGATGTATGGTTTGTTAGGATAGGACAATATTTGGCCGAGATACAACTTGAAAATCTGTAATCTGAGGGTGCAAAAAAAAATCTAAATATTGAGAAAATAACCTTTAAAATTGTCCAAATGAAGATCTTAGCAATGCATATTACTAATCAAAAATTACATTTTGATATATTTACGGTAGGAAAATGACAAAATATCTTCATGGAACATAATCTTTACTTAATATCCTAATGATTTTTGGCATAAAAACAAAATCGATCATTTTGACCCATACAATGTATTGTTGGCTATTGCTACAAATATATCCGTGCTACTTATGACTGGTTTTGTGGTGTGGTCCAGGGTCAAATATATTAGAGCTTCACGATTCTGGATTTCGGTAGTGACAATTTTAGATACTTTTGAACCTAGGTCAAAGATGCTAATCAGCACATGGTTTAGGTAGCACAGTTCTGAACAGTTGTACACATTTAAAAACTAAATGTTATGGAATAACTCCCCAAAAAGTGTGCTTAATTGCAGAAAAAAGTGTTCGGTAGTGACGTTCCTTAAAGTTACACACAGATTTCTCAGAATTTTGAACACCTTTACCTCAAAATGATGGGGCCTTTCTATTCACAATGTAGTTATGAGGGAGGGGGACACAGGAATATTTCCTGATCATAAATTTAGGGGTGTGGTTAAAATCAGTCTCAGCCAATGGACTAAAACATACGCTGTTTCAGTAGCGACATGAAAAATGCAGGGCACTTTTTTTTTTTTTTACATAAAGTTTCATAATTTACAAAGAAATATATAAAATAAATATATATATATATATATATATATATTTTTTATTTTTTTTTTCACTTTTTAAAAGAATCAAAAACATACTTTTAAAAACAACAATAAAAAAAAATAAAAAAATTATTTCAATAAGTTGAAAGGTGTTAACATTAGGTGTTAGGGTTCGGGAAAGCCACCTCCCAATTGAAAGTACCCAATGAATGATTATTTTATTATATATATTAAGCTTACTAATATTGTAAATATTATTGTGGGTTTCAATAGATAATAGAAGGATCTTAATAAACATTTAAGATTTGAATAATTAAATTATTTTTAAATGTGTTTTTTGGTTGTGGGACAGTAGTTTGCACCAATTCTGTAGAATGGCCCATATATGTATGTGTGTGTGTGTATTAGTTTAACACACACACACACACACACACACACACATTGTATTAGAATTGTATATTAGTTTAATTACTTTAACAAAGCAAAGGAGTATAAACAGCATAAACAACAATAATAACAAAATAGGGCTTACATAGGCAAAATATAGGGGGAAAAAGGTTCAAATATTTGTTATGGGGAAAACTTTACATAAGAGTTCATTGTGCAGACTTAAGGAAATACAAAAAGTGCTGCCACATAGTTTGAAATGTACAATATGAGTTGGGCTCAAAAGAACCTATACCCTCCATTCATATAATATGAAGCATATCATTCAAAGTTTGATTGAGTATCAGAATACCACAAAATCGCCAGCCCATGATCAAGCTTATTTGTTAGATAATTTTTTTAAGTAGTCATATGATGTTGCTAAAAAGAACATTATTTTGTGTATTTGGTGTAATGAAATGTGTTTATGCGGTTTAAGGTTAAAAACACATTATTTACCACATACTGTACATTATTGTTGCTCCTCTATGCCCCGCCTTTCTGAAACCTGTCGATTTTTACAAAGCTCATCGTTCTGAAAAGTGAGGTGTGCTCTGATTGGCCAGCTATCCAGTGCATTGTGATTGGCTGAATTCCTCA